TATTAATTGTGAGGGTGCGCAAGTGACATACCTCCTTCTTTGTGATAAAAAAAAACATTGCTATATAGAGCTTTAAACAATAAATTGCTAACAAGTCGATAATTTCAAATCTTTTAGTAAGAAGACCCGACCACAATTATAGCAATGAAGTAGTGGCCTTAAGCGAATTTTGCCTTATTCTATGGCTGGTTTAATGTCGCTTTGGGAGGCAGAATCGAATGGCAATTTTCGCTGGCTTCTTTACGATTTTGAAAAGTATTTCTAAGAAAAAATATATTGAAGTGGTCAATAAGTTTCCGCTGGGAAGCATCTTTAATCTAGGCACTTGTTTCACCTTCTGCAAGAGTACACATATAAGTCTAAGTGGCCTTTCGAAATGTGATATGCAAAGGAGGGGATAAAAGCGCTAATTTCAAATGCTTTTTCTATCTGCCGTTTCTCTGAAAGGAGTTATAAAGGTTTTTCCTGAGTTGTTCTTATAATGAGGTCCAAAAGTTCTCCACTTTAAGCTCAGCACTGCAAGAACTCAATTCTACTGGCATTTCTTATACTCTTTAAGAATGATCATTTGTGACGTGAGTTTAAGCCAGATTCTCGCTTTAGCTGCTGTTATGATTCGTTTAAGCTATATTTTGCAAAGAAAATTGTTAAAAAGGTAATGAAGGCAAATCTGGGATCAGTTGCAAACTTCAATCATACATACATTTTTGAAGGCTATTTCGATTGTATGTGTTCTCTTCATCGGTGATAATTGAATTCAGGGCGTCGCTTTGCTACCATGATGTCAAAAGTGTAAAAGTAGATGATTTACTACAAAGGCAAAGAAACTTCTCAATCGATAATACTTGAAATAAGTAATTTGTTGATGCTATAATATTATTGTTAATATTTGGACAGGACATCGAATGCGATATTCTAATACAAAGATACTGCTGACAATTGCGAACGCGTACTAAACAAGCAGACGAACTATAGAAACGCTAACCAATCTCTAAGTAAAGACAAAAACAC